CTAGATCATTCGAGACGTCCTAAGCGAATTAACCTGGATAACTCGACTCTATCGTCTGTTATGAATGAATTTGTGGTCGTCTTCGCCGTCTATAACAAATTGAGTTTCGTTTAAGGTTTCGCAGATTAGTTGACAAAAACAACAAGTTTTATATATTTATACATATATAAATCCGTTGTGTAAATATAATGCGTGTAATAAAATACGGATTCGTATTTTCGTCCGTCTGTCTGTCGTTCGGGCTAATCTTCAAAATGGCTGAACTGATTGGAATGAAACTTTACGAACTGATAAAGAGCAATGCCGGGAGTGAACTATGTTATATTTTATCCGCAAAATTCGAAGAGTTTTGATAAAATACGAATAATTAATAGAGCCACGTTAATAGATCCTACCTAGGCGAATCCAGGGCCGTTCGCTCGTAATTAATAAAATCTTGTCGTTGTTGTATGTAATACAATAATTTAAAAATACATAGTTGCAGTTTTATATTAACCACTTTTATAATATCAACCGAATTTTAAAAAGAAGGAGATTTGAAGTCGCCAGAATATTTTTTATGTGTGTCAACAATACCGTCTTTACCATAAGGGCACACGGGCCCCGTGCCCAGAGGGTCCCCGTGATGAGTCATCGGCCTTATTCGCTCACGCTACACAATCTTTTTTCTATTTTAAGAAAATATAACCCGACATAAAAATTATAGAGTAAATGAGGGCGTTGTTTGTGACTTTCTGGCAACCCTGAGCAGTGACAAGTCAGACATTGCTGAGTTAGCCAGAAAAAGTGGCATTGACAGATTTTCCAGGTAGAAAATATGTAGTTCAGCGTTTTGCCCCCATCTAAACGGTTTTGTCGGGCTGTACAGTCGCCTTACTTATGGCCTGGAATTTTTTTTTTAATTTTCGGCATTCTATGCAGTATTTGTAATCTACGAGTATGAGATAAAAATGTCATTTCGTACTGTTTAATAAAAATAACACTTGTAAAGATTTAACGGCAAATGATTCATTTAATAGGTATGATAATTTTCAACTGCAAATATTACTGCTTTTATAGCGAATAATAATTGTTACGATCCTTATTTTTAGACAATTGAGGCCTAAATTTTAATGTAATAAATAAAAAGAATACATGTATGAATGTTGTTATAGAATATTTTCTTTTTTTTTTTAAAGAAAGTTTAGGAAAAAAAATTTACATTTATAAATAAAAAATAAATTTACATTAAAGTTTACATTTTCCTAAGAAATTATCGTCTATGCTATGAAATCTGTCAAATATTTTTACCTCGTTTAAAAGTGGCGCCGCCCTGGTGGCAGAAAAAATCGTAGATGCCCTCATTAATGACATATTATTTGATTTTTATAAATTAACTATGTAAATATAAGATCATAACAGAAAAATGTTTTTGTTTTTCACTTTTTTACTTTCCAACAAGACCCCAAATTCTTCTGTAGCGTTGTGTGTCCACAATAATTCTCTACCACGTCGCTCGATTTCAATAATTACATTGGAAAAAGTATACATTAGAAGTGGAATTCTTTAAGCAATCATATAAGTATATAAGTAAGCAATTCTTTATCATGTCAACCGATTTTGGTGAATATATTCGCTTTAGTTTTCTGAAGTCGATTTTTACTTTTTAAAAGTCCGATTATTAATTATTCGAATCTTATATTTCTTTAAAAAGCACTTTGTAATTATCTTGTCGACCTCTCAACGGTTAACGATTGTATTAATATAATGTACGCGGCTAACGGGGTGACTTTGGCCACCCCAGCCGCACCTCAACCGAATGTTACTGATATTGCAAGGTTGGTGTAATTAGTTTATGAATGGATTAGTTTATGAGCGTTGAGAGATCCACGGAATAATCCGAAAGTACCCTTTAAATTATATTTTTATATTCCTGTATACATTACATTGTAAATAATTGAAACTTATAACTACTCAAATATTATGAACATTAATTTGTGCAATATTTTCTTTAACACTTCAATTGACGGGTAAATACTTCATGCTCCTTCTTCTTCACATAAAAATCCAGTGCTGTACAAGGGCCAGTCGAATTGTAGAGAGAACTTGGTTTAATCTTAACGCTTGACAGATACCTGACGTCACGCACCCTAAAGGTTAAGGCGAAGGGGGCGCCAAAAGCAGATTTTTCACGCTTTATAGGTGCAACGGGCGGCTGTTTGGTTGGCCCGCGCGCTTTTTAATCGTTTATTTGATATTTCTTTTTAAAATTATATATACTCTTTTATTAAAAAATAAACCCATAATTCACTCATGTATTGGCTGGTGAACACATAGCCTGAATTTAATTGAAATTCAGGCTATGTGTTCGAATGAAACAGCTTTTTCACTTAGTACGTACCTAAAATTGTAGATTTTTTCTATCGAGCCAAAATGTGTCAATCGTGTTTTGGCCAACATAATTCACTAAGAAAATGTGGATTCGTAGTTTTTATTTTAAATTGCTTTTATGCGCACTTTTTTTACGTGGTAGAGCCATGCTACAGCTATATTAATTGTATAGTTGTAGACGAATTGGCTCGACCAGAGAAGGACCACGCTCTCACAGAATACCAGCGTCAAATAGCAGCTTAATACTGCTGTGTTTCGTATGGTGAATGTAGAGAACCCGAGACCCTTTTACTGGGAAAGAGGCATTCCATCTTAGTCCTCAAGACTGACAACGCATCTTCATTTTGATTCGCAAACGAGGATGGATGTAGACGTCTATTGGCCACAGCAACCACTTACCATCAGGTGGACTGTCTGCTAGCTTGTCACCCTTTTCCTATAAAAAAAACCCTATAAAACGTGAAAAATCTGCTTTTGGCGCCCACATCATCTTAACACATTATACTGCTTTGTGAAGTTTTGCCCAAATTACAAATAGGTTTAAAATTATGAAAAAGGAAAACATATGATTTTGGCTTACATTAACAGTGCATAGATTAAAATTAGTTTCACTTAGAAATAATTACAAGATATTCTAATATTTCAATTTATGTTTGATACAAATTGTTTACAGTACTTGCGTATCCTTTACTTGTAAGCTTTCATCGTAATCATTGCTTAGAAATATGAGTAAAAGGGCTATACAATAATAAGCGGCGACATCCTTCAAAACAAATGCTGCCCACATGTCGTGCGAATGCAAGAGAAATTCAACACTTAGATCACGCAACTTCCTTCCATTGAGAATAGGCTTATTATTGCCGTCAGAAATTATTTAATAGAAGGTATTGAATAAAACGTTTTTCATAATTTCGCCACATATTATTAGTACATGGCGGTATTTTAAAAACATTTACATTGCTATTATTGAATTTTGCATAAAAAATTAAACTTTTAATAAGCACAAAGCGCTTCTGAATGTGGAATTTATTTTATGCTTTTCGGTGTTTGAAGTCTGCCTCTACTTTTTATTGAAATTTTTAATTTTTTGTCACTTTCTCGTTGATTAAAGAATATCGCAAGATTAAGATAACAAAATGTCTTATAAATAGTTACATCAAAAACTTTATGAAACGAACAATATTGTGATATGATGACGGATAACTTTTTAAAAATAAGAGACCAAACTAAACGCACTGCTAGATTGCTGGTAGTTTTAACATATATACTTTTTTTTAAGAACACGTTAAGAGCTATTGTTACAAATTTCTTTTATATATTATATTTAAAGCATGTTTATTACTCTGTACTGTATAAAACATAAATTTGATCTACAGAATTATTCATTTGCGTCCTGTGTTTGAGCCAAACTCCGTTGAGGTGACTAGTTTGTTGTTAGTTGAGTTAGGAAATGTTTGGTTACTCAAAGTTGGCTGAACGTTTTAGGAATGTTATAACTACAGACGCAGAACTATAAATTATTGTCATACTACGATGTATAACATACAATTACTACTATGTTTATAAAAGGTATTTTAATGAGATTATCAAATATAAAAAGGCCTTGCCATTTCATATGCCGTTCCATAGAATTTCACTTAAAGATGACAAAATCGAATAACTTCATGAATTGCCTAGAATTATGGCATGACTTTTTCTCAAAGGAACGGGTTTAGGGTTTTAATGGGAGAAACATTTTGTAACACAAAACTTGTTTCATCAATGTTCAAAAGATTCAATTCGAAAGATACAAATCTTTGTAGCATTCAAAGCCTGAGAGTTTCTAAACAGATTCCCCTACCCATCTGTTCATATCACCGATGTTTATTTGAAATGTTTTAAATATTTTTTTTTCATCAGCGTACTGTAAAGAAACAGTTATTTAAATGTTCATATTATAATAGGATAAATAAGAATAAATCCGTGGTTATTTATCCTGCTATAGTATAATATATGTATTTACAATAATCCTTTAAAAGGAACGGATCGGTTTCTTCACATAAAAAACGGTATACATAAAAGTATCCGTGTAATGGACCAAACATAGGCATTTATTGAAATTATATACTATCGATATTTTGGGTACTGTATCGTAGGTATTGCTGCTTTGAATAATAACTATTCAAAATTTTCGCAACCGCTTTTCCAAACGTCTTACCTAAGGCCGAGATATCTGTATCAAATAAAATTCATTTTAAATTTGAGTTAAGTAATAAGCGAGTGGGAAGACAGGCAGACTGAGGTCTGGGAGATGTCCATCCTATTCAATTTAAAAAATATGCACATGTTTGTTACATTTCAATGTTTCACATACGTATTATGTTATTACTCTAAGTTTCAATAAATGCATTTTTGACAATTAATTACACACTTAGTCACATACTTATAAGTACGTCGCTTGCTGGTTATTAATTTCATAAATTAACACAAAAGCATACTTGCATGATCTGCTTTTACACTATGAAAGGGTTTCCAATAGTTGAGTAGTTTCAGTTCATATTGAATGAAATCATTACGCTTTGTTCTCGTAAATAGTAAACCATTGAAATGTATGTGTATGTACATAAAGTGATAATATACCAATTTTGCAGAAGTAAGACAGGAGGCCGTGCAACAAGCACTTGCCGAGATGCAGAACCGGCCCAAGCCGTCATTGCCAATGCCTTCTAAGAGGACATCGATGATGGCAAAGAGCCCGGATAGAGAAAGACACGATCTCTGTAAGTATTATATTTATATGAACAGTTTCTAAGATAATCCTTCATTGATTCACAAAGTCTCATGCTGATGAGGTACTTAAACCGTGAAAACGGTCATTTGAATGAATCTATTAAAATCATCAAATATTTAGCAATACTACATGAAACACTCTTACTTGACTTAGTACCTACGTATTTTCTTGAAAAATATAAACACATTATAAAATAAAATTGAGTAATGATACACCAAACTATTGAATTCCTGGTTTTATATCTCAGGCGGGACAAATTTTTATTATATATTATTATATAATTTTATAAACATATGTTAAGTATACTGTTGAGCATGGGCCTTCCCTCGTTTGTTAACTTTATTCAACTAAGAATAATGAAGGTGTTTTATAACCTAATGTTAGGTGCACCTTTTCAAACTAGGTGTCCGTCGTCGTCGATGTAACCCGGTTTGAAATACGTAGAGAGCTGGTTTAATTACGGGCTGTAAAATATTACATTATAGTTCTCAGAGGTTAAAACCCTTGTGGTATTTGAAAATGGCGACAGGAGTATATACAGTAGCCACTTTCCATTAGAAAGAAAGAAAATATTTATTTCGCCACATAATTACAAGGCCATATTGTCCATTATATTTTCTCATTTTGAACGTTATTAAAAATAAAGTATTCGACGTTGCCGAACGTGACGAAAAGGAATCATACCCAGCATTTAACGTGGCGAACTAGGGTCGCTGTTTTTCAGTGTGGCCCGTTTCATCTCTTTCGGGGTAGGTGGATTATTAAACTAGTTTGTCATTTTTCTGATAAATAAACTTCTGTGGGCTAAATAGACTGGTGTAAGGTCTTAGTTTCTCATCAACCAAATACAAAATGCCGCGGCTTTTAGCGAGATGAGGGCGTAGTTTGATATTCAAATAACAAAATTCTAGCTTCAAGTTCCGACGAGGACTCTTGTGCTGGAGACACAGAGTTGCCTCCTCCTCCTGAACTGGGCTCCCCACCCGCACGCCGACCTGCCGCTCCTCACCCCCGTGCGCACCCACATCCCTTACCACAGCCACACCACCAGCGGGAGAAGAAACACGCACCAAGAGAGAGGACTGAGATCGATTTGTCAGATATCACCGCACATCTGCCGACCTGTAAGTATTCAACGGAAGGTATTAGATATATAGAGAAAGTATGGCCGAGGGTAGACTTTAAAATACTTCTACTTCTTGTCTGGTAGGAGTTTAGAAACTTGCCTAAATGAAATCTCCGGCAAAAGTTGGCCTCTTGACAGCGTAAATCTTTAAATTTAGCACGCCTTATATACTCATTTCAGTGATGAAAACTAGCATCCAATGTCTGATTCTTTTGCCGCTAATGCACCTGATAGTCTTAACTAATATTTTCAAAAACAACAAATCATTTTTTTTTAGATAGGGAGAATAATTGGTAAAACTATTTCAGTCTCTCGTCATCAACTGCCTGTAACACAACAGAACTCTAACCTAAAGTATAATATAATATAGGTTTGCTCTAATAACACGCTTGACTGATTGTTTGGCGATCATAAATCACATTAGCAGACGTCCCTCACCTTCGTCGCACTTTGGTCATAAGATATTCCAGGTATTTTTGTTAGACAACTTTTGGAATACCTTCGGAGAGAGATGAAATTTTTTTACTATACCGCTATCGTACGGCCTATTTGTATACAGTTATTTTAAATGTAAATTTATCACTATTTATTAGTAAATAAAATATAGTAAAGTAAGTATACATATTGTCTATAAAAATATATCGATCTACCTTCTTTCGGTTCCATTACGATCCCTGTAAGTTGTCTTAATCTAATAATTTAAAATCTATAACATTTATAAAGCTTGTTCGTAATAAACACGTTGTTGTTCTAGTTTCATAGATATTATTTTTTATTGTTCCGTAGCGTATTATTCTTAAAAACATATTTAAGAAGTAACTACTAACCTTAACACAACATAAAGTATATAAAAATACACTTAATACAGTATTCGATCGAATAATGATCGAATAGTGTTCGTCAACGGAACACCATTCGATCCGAATGAATGGCAAATAGACAACATAAGAAACGTTACTACACACCACCTCTTTTACAAAAAGGACATAGAAATTGAACCACCATCAAGCAAACTTAATCAAATACTCATGTGAAAATATTGGGCCTCAAATATCGGTTTAAAGTAGTTTTAATGAACGAAACCTTCAATAGGTTTCAATAGGTAAAACCAAGTCACTCTGCTGCCTGACTTTCTGTATGTCAAGTAGATTTATTTTATGAAGGAATTTGATTCGAAACCGAATGAATAATAGATTCAATTCAATTATTACATTTTTATTTTTCATTTAAAAAAAAAAGATTTTAGGTTAGCAAAGCTGTCAGTTTAAGACCGTTTTTGTGTTTGTATATTATATGCCATACACTACTTTAAACTACTACTTCTGAAGTCAACGTTTAATATTGTAAGGTATGAGCAAAACAGTGTAAACTTTTTCATCCATGAAAAGAGCAAAATGCTTCCAACGGTAACAACGGACTAACCCTCATAGACCATATATTTAAAAAATTAATGATATATTTGTAAATTAATTGTTTACAAAAAAATAAAAAAAAGCTTTCTTTAGGTATCATCTCTCAATACGATTTCAATTTCTTACTACTCAAAAACTAAGACAGACAATAAATCAACACTTAGTATCTAGCATTAACTTTAAAAAAGAAAATTGGTCCAAATATGTTCGTAACCTTACTAGGGCGTTGCCTGACTCGCACGTGATCGTTTTTTCCTTTACATCAAAGTGGAAAGGCAAACGACGAACGATAACATTTCACACAAATTATTTTTGTACGTTATCATCAGTAGTTGGAAATGTTGTAATATATATATATATATATATATATATATTTTTTTCGTGTTTACAAAATATTCATTACAATTTAAATTTTCTAATGTTCAAATTCATATCCAAATTGTTTCTAATAAAACCTAACGACTCACGACTTGACAGGTGATCCAGAGTATCTTAAAATGGACAAACGCGTCAAACGGACAAAATTATTGCCGCTATATGAGCCACAGAATATAATTAAAAATATTTTTTATATGCGAATTTGTTTAATACACAAAATCACACTTTTATGCACGTATAAAATCCTAAAAAAATTGTTTAGGAACTCCCGCTAAAACGACGTTTGTTAAAATTGGTGTTTTAATTTATATCCATACAGATATTCAACCTGACGTTACGCACACTACATCTGGAGCAAGGCGGGGTGGAGCCCTAGTTGCAGATAGAGTACAATGTTACGCACAACCTGAGGATACTGGAACAGGCACTGGCCGATGGAAGGTGCGATTATGGGCAAAATTTATTTGGTAGTGTTCTATATTAATATATCACCCATATTCATTTTAATTTTATGTCTAGGTCTCGGCGAAGATTCAGCAACTTCTGAATACCCTGAAGCGACCGAAACGCCGTCCACTGCCTGAGTTTTACGAAGACGATGATATAGAGTTAGAAATTGCGGCCAATCCTAAAGACCCGAACGCTCCAAAACCAGAGGGAGGAACTATGACCCCAGCAGTAGGCGAGCAACTCGTCGTACCCGCTGGTCTGCCAAGGAACTTGGAGGCAGCTTTGCAGAGATACGGAACTGCGTCGTTCAAAGCCAACGTTGCAACAGTTCTTGATCCAAATGGGAAGCTTAGTAACTCCCTCACATATGGTAAGTTAACCTAAGTAATGTCACGTGCGAGATTTAAGTGCTGCCAACCAGACAAAATTATAGTAGCGTGACGCAAAGCCTTATCTTTTTTTACTGTTATATTTTCAAAATATATAATACTATTCTCCCGAACACAGGTAAACTTCTAAGCCGATCTCTCAAAATCGCCTACGCTTTGCTCAATAAGACATTTACCTCAAAAAGCAGCAGTGGAGGACCTTTGACTGGAGACAATTCCATCAAGCCTGGCGATCGTGTCGCTTTGGTCTATCCAAACAACGATCCTATAAACTTCGTGTGTGCATTTTACGGCTGTCTCCAAGCTGGCGTTGTTCCTGTGCCGATAGAAGTACCACTGACCAGACGCGATGCTGGTCTCCAACAAGTCGGCTTTCTACTCGGCTCTTGTGGAATCCAATACGCACTGACATCGGATGCTTGTTTGAAAGGTCAGTATTAAAGTTTCTTTTTATTTACGTTAATCTTATATGTTAGAAGGAAGAATTTAGTTGGAATCCGAAGAAAGAATCTCTTGTATTTATATTTTTGCACACATAAGTTCTGGAATTAAAAAATACACTGAATAATTTCTTATTATATTCATACATTATAGTATATGTAGCATATGGACTACATTCTAGAACAACAAACATCAAAATTTCGATAGAGAAGATAGCTGGCTGCTACAATCTGCTTGGTTCCAATAAATAAATTAAAACCCAAGCATACCATAGCAAAATTTCAATGTACAATATATATGCTCATACTGCGTTGATCATACCAGAAATTAATATTATTTAAGGATGAAGGTAGCCTTACTCAACTATGAAATTAGGCTGACATGAACTTCAGCCCGACCGTGTCTAAGGCACTTGACGTCATACGAAAAGCCTCGAAGTCAGTGGGCTCCGCAAGTTTGTGAAATAACGATCGTCAACACAGAGTTAAATATTGTGTAACACTTAGGTCGAGAAAACATAATTTATAGGCTGGACCATAGACAGGAGATGAAGTATGCCTTATATTTTAAATTGAATCAGATCTAAAAGCTACAATGTAATAATGCAAAGAATTAACCACAGCCAGACACAAAAATGCACCCATAAATCTTCACCTTGTGAAATTTGCACAGCGTAAGTTTTAAGAACTCGGACAACAAATTTTGCTCATCTTTCATCTTCACGACACCTGACGTCAACTGTATATTGTCTTCTCCACTCACTTGAATATTTCTGAGTGATGAGAGAAATGTCCTAGACCATTTCTCTAACGACAAAAACGTGTTCATATGGAGTAGCAGATTCTCTTGTGTCACCACAGCGTAGCCGCATACCCAGATTACTTAAACTATGTTCCATGCGAAGACCCGCTAAGGTAGCTTTTAGTGTTCAATACTCAAAAAACCCTGTGACTACGTAAGTGATTGAATTTCGCCATAGTTATAATAATAATAAAATAAATAATGCCCTCCAGACTGAATTTCGGTCACAGTTCGTAATGCGTTCGGTAGTCTTAAGATGGTTAGTCTCTGTTAACATCTGTGCATTACAGGATTATAGTGCACAATTATATTATGTATAAACACTGTTGCACTATCTACATACTCCCTCACTCGCATACTGCGATGGGATGGCAATCTGACATAAAAATTACTTGTCAGAAAAACCCAACTGCTTCTTGGCCAGGCCCGGGATTCGATCAATCGGGATTGTCAATTAAAGCTCAGAACGCATAATTTCAAAAATATATTCTTTTTGTGTTTAACATATTTAATTTTTTTCTTTAGAAAAATATATAATATTTGTCTATCACTGATAAGGGGTTAACTCACTAAAAGGATCGTTCAAAACAAATCTATTAAAAAATCAGAATATTGACAAACACGTGTAGATAAAGCCAAAACTATCAGGATTAAAAATTCTGGCGTGACATATAAAGAATAATTTACTATGCTTGATTAATTGCTATAGCTTGGAAATTTAGTGGATTTGATGACTTTGATCACTAATTGTGCAATTATAATTATGCAATCGAGTGCAATCGATCGAGTTTTCGGAGATTAGTTGTCGGTCAGCTTTCTTCATTTGCATTCTTTTCGATTTCATTCTAATGATGTATCTCATGTGCTTGTCTTTTTAACCCTTATGAAAACAGAGGGATGTTAAAAGTTTGTATCTGTGTATCTGTGGTCTGTCTGGGGCATCATAGCTCCTGAATGGATGAACAGATTTTGATTAAGGGGAAATATAACCTCAAATGGCTTAGCAAGATCCTCCGTTATACCGTAAATATTACAGCATTAATTTTGAAATAAATATATGGTAAAGATGAGGATTTATGTTAAGTACTATGTTAGACGAAAATATGATTCCGTAACATTTTCTCGATAGAAAAAAAAATCCAAAGTTACCTCCAAACTGAACAATAAGCCGCTGTTATTCATAAAATACTTTAAATAAGATTATGAAACTTTGCATACTAACTGAACTAACTATAAATCGGGGCTAATGTTTTTTATTTTATTTTAAATTACCATTATTTTCACTGTATAAAGAAATTACCTAAACTATCGGCGTCCTGAAGCTTGGAACCGGGCGGCAGGAAACGAGCTTCAGGACCTTAAGTTATTTTCGTTTGAAATGTGTCTTAACCGAGAATGTTCTTAGCTATGTTTCAAGAAAATCTGTTCAGTCGTTCAAGGATCATCAGCTTTTTTTTTTATTTAAGTTATTATCAGTTGATATTGTAAGTCGGACAGTACCTATCCTATTCAAAGTTAAAGCGGACTACGCAAGGCCGCCGCGTACCGTGTAATGTGCACACATTTGCCAATGTCGCTTTTTGTGTCTATCGTCAATTATACATAATTTTCAACCAGATGTGATGTAATGGCTTGAAAACAATTCTGCCTTAAACCTTGTTATTTTAAATTTTTTTCTGTTTCATTTTTGTTTACCTACTTGCTACGCGTTTGAAGCATAGAAAAATGTATATTATTTCGTAACTTCAGTCTTTCAGATGTTGAAAATATTATTACTATCATGTCGAAATATTCCCTTACATTTTAAAAACTTATATGTGATAGACTACAATAATGGATAGAATAAATAGAAACTTATTTTGTATATAACGAAAGTTTGAGAACCCTTCGCCCGCAATTAGCAATATCGGTTTTAAAATTATGATTTAGATTTTAGCTATTATGCACTCACGTACGTAAAGTCTATCTGTCCTAATGATAAACTTTTGTGTTTGTTGATAATACATTCGTGAAAGAGCGGCAAATTGTTTTTGACCTATGCCTGCTCAAATGAGCTCATACACTCACTAAGTAATCCTCTTGGCAGCAACTATGTTCCTCTTTAAAAAACACTAACGCTTCACCTCGTCGCCGCAATGAAATCAAAGATTATTGTACTATTATGATTTTCATTATTATCATCGTCAGCCTGCGGAAATCCGCTGCTGTACGTAGGCCTCTTCCAAAGCGCGCCACTTATCCCGATTTTCGGCTTCACACATCTAGTTACTGCCAGCCGCCTTGCGCAGATCGTCGCTCCATCTACCCAGGTGTTCCACACGATGTTTACCTAAACAGCGTGAGGTAAGCTTTGTCAGATCTTCTCCTCCCCCATACCGCAAAACTTGAAGACGAAAGTCTTCGACCAATGCGTCCTGCCAGTACTCACATATGGTGCCGAAACATGGACACTAACGGTACGATTACTTCATGAATTCAGTGACCCAGCGGACGATGGAAAGAGCTATGCTCGGACTTTCTCTGGTGGGTAAGATTCGTTACGAATACGAAGGAATCCGCCGGAGAACCAAGGTCACCGTCGTTGACTTCCGTATTTGCAAGCTAAAGTGACAATGGGCTGGTTACATTATGATGTTGTCGTCCATTAATTCTAAATATTGTAAAAAAAATGTAATACATTCAGGTGAATAACATTAGTTTATTTTCGATAAATGGACGGATGAGTCAGTATCTTTTCTTATTATAAACCTAATATTGTTTATGTATTAAGTAATGTATTACTTCGAAGAACGTACAATCGATGGGAACAATGGTTTTCGAGGGGCAGCCTCATACCAGTAAGCGAAGTGTTGGGCGGCCCTTAGTGGATCCCTATGTTTAACTGTAAACTTGTAATTGGATGTAATGATGATGATGATGATGATGATGATGATGATAATAATAATGGTTAAAGATTGTACAGAAGTGACAGCTATAATAATTAGTCAATATAAAATCATGCTATAGTCTGACTTCATATTGTACTCGTAATACATTCAATATAGTTCATGCCAAAACAGCAATAACTGTTTTCATTACAAAAACAAAAAGAAAATCTATAACAGCTGAATAAAATATATTACAGCTCTTATGAAGTAATGGTTAAACAATAGCATAATACCACTAAACTACTAATAAAACAGTATTTGATATTGCCTTGCAACCATTGCAAGGTTTAAAACAATACGAGTATCCATTTAAGTCTTAATCTTAGTACCCGGATGACCGAGCTTTGCTCGGTTTTTTTTGAAATTACATTTATAAATTACATACTGATGAAACATAAATAATATTTTTTGATCTTATTGACAGAATAGAAAAAACTGAACTGGTTATTTAAATAAAAAATCATGAGTGCAACTAGTTTTATTAAAATTTTCGTATTTTTAAAAAATACTAAAAAAAGGGCTTGAAATAATAGATTTTCTCACAAAAGAAGGGAACTTGGAAAAAAAAGGAAAAAAGTCAGACCAAAGGCAGGACGCGAACCATAGAACTCCGATATCACGCCCGACCGACATCCCACCTAAGCTATTACGATCGTTAGCGATCTGTCAAAATTTACCTTTTTATATTGTAACAGTTTTTTTTTTTTTGCTTTTTTTTATTTTAAAACAGTCCCAATCCGTTTGTTTTCGTAAATCAGAGTTTACATTTTATGTTTAAGTACCTGCTGCAGTAACCTGCTGTTACAGTTCATAAAATGATTTTCCGCAGTTTGTAGATTAATGTATTTCGTAACGCGAACTTTTAGGTACATCCGAGTAGTTTAATCTCTGGTCTACTAAATAATATACTTATAAATACATATATCTCTGTTTCCTATAAAGACAATTATGACTCTAGAAAGTCTAAAAATTTAAAAAGTTTTTAAAGTCTAAAAATTTATTCACTATCGACTGACCAGGATGCAAATAAATATGAAGCCTCTGCCAAAGGTGTTCACGTAAGCTAACAGCTTACCTGATAGTAAGGAATTACGGTATCCAATGGACTGTTCACGTTATTCATCATCGCAAAGGCGGTTTATCTAGAATCATCTATCAAATTTATATGTGACGCTTCAGCAATATTAGTGTAAAAGCACGATTGGGTCGGCTTAACCAGGGTAGTACCACACTCTTACAGAGTACCAGCGTCAAATAGCAGCATAATGCTGCTGTTTGGTATGGTGAGAGCAGAGAATCGAGGATCCTTTTTATTGAAACCGAGCCATTCCATTTGAATGTCCTGGGGTGACATCGCATCTGCATCTTGATTCCAAATCGAGGATAAATGTAGATGCCTATAGGCCACGGCATCCACTTACAATCAGCTGACTGTGTGAACGTTTGTCACTCTTATTCTATTTAAAAAAAGCAATATTAAATTCTACAGATAAATAAACCAGAAATAAATGAAACAATATTTACAAGAATGGTTTTAAAAAGCTATAAGAAAAATCCCGAATACTTAACGTAAAAGTAGGTCAATCAAGGGCTAGCCTAATTATAACGCGTAGGGTCTATTGTGAATTCACCTTTGTTTCTGACATTTTTTTGAGCTTAATTCCGATCATATAACTGCATTAGACATAAGATGTGGGTATCTGAGTGCCTTTGTATTTGCGTAGAACTTAGTGAAGCTCTGAGGTTGATTTATCTTATCATGTGTTTGGCATTCAACAACAACTAACTACAAACAACAACATATCGCTTTATTGTCGACATGCCACGATTCAAACTAAACCAAACTGTTTGCTTTGTCGTTCGTAATGCGTTCAGTAACGGAATGGAACAATTCACGAGCGATCTGATTACAATTTGGACGTCTTTAAGACAAGAATGAATAGAGACGTTCGAAATGCTAAGCCAGTTATTAGCTATTTACTTTATACGACTACATCACAGAATACCAGTTGCGACATTTATTATATTTCATAGTATATGAAATAGGCCAAAAGAGCTCAGTTGAAGATCAAAGTGACTCAGGAGGAAGAGTTTACTTCATGCCACATGTTTGTGTGTGCACCAAATGTATGAAAAATAAATTTGTCGACAACCGGAAGAAATATTGACATAGATACTTGGAACGTATATACTTAATATAGTTTGCTCCGTCGTGCCATTGTCATGTGTAAGCCAAAGATTTTAATGCTTTAGGACAGATCTCAATAAATGCATTAACCTAGATCGGTAAGACGGATTTCAATTTTGTCCACTCTAAGCAAAACTCACGGCTTTTTGTTGTTAGAGAGTAAGTTTCAAGAAAACCTGTAAGCATAACTGGTAGGAGACGACCCATCGTAGGTCTTAGAGGTTGTCACCTCATTTATAATAATCTATCCGTCGTCTTAAGTCAATTGGATACCTTTGTAATTCCTTACTATCAGGTAAGCTGTGAACATATTTGGCAGTGGCATCATATTTATTTGTATCCTGGTCAGTCGATGGTGAATAAAACATTAAGGAATATATATCAATATTTAAAACAGTTTGTTCTTAAATATTTGATAAAAATACATAAATATGTACAGGTCTTCCGAAAACGTCTTCGGGTGACGTGGTGTCTTTCCGTGGTTGGCCGTCTCTACAGTGGGTGTCGACCGAGAAGCTCCCTCGACCTCCCCGCGACTGGATACCACCCCCCCGACCCGCTGAAGACAGTCCAGCACACATCGAGCACACTTCAGCCGCTGACGGATCCGCCATGGGTGTCATTGTCACTAGGTACGAGATTTATTCAAATTGCTTATATGAACATAAATTAGCGTCACTAACTTTAAAAATAATTATAAAAATATTATTAGAACAAAATCAATAACCAAAATTTGCTTATTAAAAAATTTAAACATACCATTTTATAAAACATTTAATTGAGCGGAGAGTTCTTTGGCCATCGTTCATATTCGACTAGTCGCGCATGAAGACTAAAGTGATCGATCAGTTCCATCCTCTGCCTGCCTGTTTAAGCGCGCATGGACGATATCGAATCGGCCAGTATTTAAAACCTGTGACGAGAAGCAAAATTCCGATCCGATCGCGATCGGATGATGGCTACGCGCATGAGTTCGATTGTTACTCCGCCTATCGCCTTTAATTAATCATGTGATTTTACTTTCGCCGATTTACGTTTGCAAAATGAATTAAATCGACATCGATTCGAAAAAAATAATGCCTTTCGTTGAAGCACGCTTCTGAGGTTGTGATTTTAAATCTTCGTAGTTACTGAACGAATGAGCCTCAATTAGTTTTATTATATAGCCGAATTAGTTTTATTCACTAACTTGCACACAATAATTAATGTGCACAGTATTTTTCAGCGTGTCGTTTAATGTGTTTTCAAAGAACACAAACCCATGCTACCTCTATGATATGATCCGTTTAGTCTGTAAGAAATCGCCAGATAAAAGAAACGTTTTTTGGCTATTTCACTAGTCACTCACTCGTTATTAAATTAATATTGTTTTCCAAATAACATTTTTATATTTATTATCAAAATACTTAGGATCGATTATGTCGTAAAGTACAGGATACTTGCGCACACATTCTAGCAACTTTTTATCATCCATTTTGATGTTGAGCTGTTCACATCTCAAAGATTTTCATCGACTGCCCTGTGATACATCGCCCGGTGTACGCGGTCATGTTAAAATGTGTCGACGCCGGGCCGAGCCGGATCCGGGAAACAATATCCACCGACATTTTGACGCCGTGCCCCGGCCGGCTCTCAACGGCGCACGACGGGTGCACGGCCGGTTCACGGTCGATCATGACTCACTTCATTCATACAAAAAATATACTAGGGTGTTAACCGTGGCCCGGCCCGGTCGCGATACGGTGTGCTGTGAATCATCATCATATTCTGTAAAGTTCGGAATAAGCACTACTTTCTACGTATACAATGTTGCAATCTCAGTAAAATTTTACCTCTTTGCATTTACGTAAAATTCACTGCACATTCTTAAATAAAAAAAGAGATTTAAAAAACTTGCAAAAAATAAAATAAAACTCTTTTTATTTCACTACAATATAGCTGAGCATTTGTTTATTTTGCCGATAGGAAAAATCTTTTGTTACTTTCGAATGTTCCGCGCGGTTCAGTACTCCGAAACAGTTGTTTTAATGCTTTCCGCTTGTCCAACATCGAATCGTAATATGGGCCATTCAATCTTGGCTGGCCCAGTTTCGGCAAGTCACTATTCGGTTTATTTATAACGTGGAAAATTTGTCTAAACAAAACATCAAGACCATTGCATTGTTATAAATTATTTTCAAACGTAAACAGATCAGTTAAAAAAGGTTTAATGGATGGTAAGTTAGGTGCATTTCTATTTCCGGTAAAAACAGCTAATATAACCGTTTACTGTATGATTCTCGGATCATGGTGAAATAAGCTATTTGCTGAATAAAACTTGTGCAAGCCAGATTTTTACATTTTTAGATATATAGTATTTTTTAATTCACCTTAAAATGATTAATAACTATTAATAACTAAATATATACAGTGTTAATTTGTGTAACTAAAACAAATCCGAAAATGGAAAATAGTTTCTTCAGTAAAGTACGTCATAAAATCTTTAAATAAGACGTCCGCTCAGCAGCACTGTGCATACAATCAATCCCGTGTTATAAGATTTTTACGACTTGAATGTAGTATAGTAAAGCTCTGGTACCAATGAATCCTAAGTGTTAAACTCTTCATTGGATAAGCGGCCGGCTTGCACGAACACGACTCAGTTTTATAGCCCTCGTTGCGACTACGGCTGCCAGGTCTTAAAACTGGAATTGGACCAAATATGGATTTCACCGATTACGAATACTCGGCCGAAAGTTCAGTAAAACTTTTACCGAACCGATTATATTCGGGCAAACATTATTCGGCAGGATCACCTCGGTACATAACCAATGTATGACAAAACTTGTTACCGTAAAGCGCGCGGGATTAGCGCCGGATCCCATGCCCCTCGCTCATCATCTAGTACTAAGAAAATTACCGGCACGTGCTTATGTTTTGATAATTTTTGTGAGAAAAAAAGTATTTCGTTGTATTGTTCTTAGTCGGAATTGATATAAGTGGCAGGTGATCTACTATTTGGATTCATTTTAGAGAAACTGACGACCAAAGTAAAGTGAAATGTACTAATGTAATGTTATGTTTCTTTGTTTGATTACAAAAATATTTAATCAAACTTTTTATTTGATATACATACATATACATAAACACTCACGACTGTCACCCAGAGGGGTAGGCAGAGACTACAGACATCCTGACACACCTCTCTCGCCTCCTTCACATCCATACACCTACGCATACATGCTCGTCGGTTAAGGGTACTCCTAATTTGGCCCGTTTTCAATAAATCGCCAATTTGGTCGATAAATTTTTGCCTAGGACGTCCCTTTCCGACTCTGCCATTCACTTCTGCAACATAAATTTTCTTTGTCACTCTTTCTTTCTTAATCGTGGTCACAACATCATCTTGCAAACCACACTCTTCTCTTATTACCCATATATTTGATATAATTCGAAATAAATCTACAGTGCCTAAAAAACATAACGCTGTACAAGTAGATTTAACCCATAAATAAAATATACTTTCAACAGTAAAATTATGAAAGAGATGGCATTAATCAATTCGTACATTTCAATACTGTGGACACATTGAGTACCACTTTAAATAATGTTCGATGATTTAACCGAATATTCTGCCGATTACAAATATTCGGTAAAGCTATGCTGAATACCGAATATGAAACGAATTTTCGGCCCATCTCTCCATAAAATCGAAAAGCCAGACCAGCTTAGTCGAACATTTTGGTAATAATATTGGACACCTTTAATTTTTTAATCTTAGTATAACATGACAATTCTTTTAGTGTAAAACTATGCTTTTTACCATTTACAATAAAACCTTAAATTCGAATGAAATAACAATAAAATTGTATGAATCAGTCTTCTTTATTATTAATAATTTAATATTCTCTCCATGTTTAATAATTGCAATTAGTATGTAGTATGTAAGTACAAGAAGAGTGTAAAAAATGGTCTAATTTAATTAGCTTAATAAAAGCACAGGCCGGACCCCGTCTAATTTGGCCGGACACGCAGCCAAAAGCCTGACTATGTTCGGCTTTATCCGTACGCCTGGCAACGCTAGTTGCGAGTGAGCTTTTTTATAGGATAAGGTGACAAACGAGCACACAGTCCACCTGATGGTAAGTGGTTGCTGTGGCCTATAGACATCTACAGCTATCCTCGATTACGAATCAAAATGCAGATGCGTTGTCTCCCGTGAGGACTAAGATAGAATGCCTCGTTTCCAGTAAAAAAGGTCTCCGGTTCTCTATACTCACCATACGAAACACAGCAGCATTAAGCTACTATTTGACTTATTACTATATACTATTTCTGTGAGAGCGTAGTCCTTCCCCGGTCGAGCCGACCCATTCGTGCTACAACTATACTTCTAATATAACTGCAGCACGGCTCTACCACGTAAAGCTTACATGGTAATCTGCATTCAATTACAGTTTACAATTAACATTTCAATTACATATTTTTTACCGATTATTTCTTTTATTTACTTTGTCTAAGATTAACTCAAGAATTATTTCAAAACAACACAGAAGCTATAATTCGCCGTAACTAAAATCAGCATTATTATTAACATGTTATAAATGACTTAATGAAGCCATATTTAGTTAAAGCCCTTAATATAAATTATAAAAGAATTATTTAATTTGCTGTTTTTGTATTAAATCATGATTTATTTAACTTTCACAAGAAGAAAGCCGCGTATATAGTTTATATTAAATATATTTGTACTACTGACGTTTAGAACTTTAAACGTTTTATATAAAAAGTTATATGCACACGTCTATATACAATTGAAATATGAGTAATAATAATAATAATAAACCAAACTCCTAATTCTCTGTAAATCTTAAAAATGAACAGAACCAAGTTTGTTGTGACAAAATTCAATTACTATTTGAACTCGGAATTGTTTGTAGCGCGCTCCTAATGAGCGTTGCTGGATGAAAAGCACTTAAAAATGTCCGACGGAAAAGTACTCGTACGTACAACCTACACCTTTAGTCTTATCATTTTTGCGACATCGCTCTTATCCAAAACCATTTTCTCATGCCAATGTCGCTGGTTTATTAAATTCTACAAATTATTTAGAACAAGCTTCACTTTATTTACTTACGGTGAAATAAAAAAAATGCTGCCAAAGTGCCAAAGCTCAAAGTCTAGTTAAAACATGTTTGACATAAAAGGTAATAAAACAAAGTTGAAATGAAAACGATAACTTTGTCACGCACGAATTTCAAGTTGTGAAAAGTTCTTATACTGCGACCGTACCGCCATCTCTCGCGCGCGGCTAAGTTCAAATTAACATGGCGCTGGTACAACGCACTAATAACACTGCACACGGACATCTAGCGGGTCTTTTCGATGGCTGAACAAGCTTGATATCGTGTCTGAACTTAGGTCTTACTGTATGCTAGGCTAGCATTTGTCAAATTCTATATAGATGACGTTCTACAACGTTATTTCTAAAATCAATAGACGAGCTTATTGATTCGTCGCGCGCAGTTGTATTAAGCTTACACTGAGGCTCATAATTATTCCAAATGGGCTGCCCTCAAAGTTACACGCTTATCAAGTCGTTTAAAAGCGAAATGATTCATACAATTTCCAAATTTTGTTTAACTTTACTGATGACACCTGGCATCATACGGGACACAGGATGAATTGTTTCCATATTGAAGTAATTATTTTTACTTCAAGTTGAAATGAGTGTAAATAAATGTAAGTATTTAAATTGCTTCTATGATTGCAGGGCGTCAATGCTTTCCCACTGCCGCATGCTCTCTGTGGCCTGCAACTACACTGAAGGCGAGCATATGGTCTGCGTTTTGGATTTCAAGCGTGAAACTGGCCTATGGCACGCCGTGTTGGCAAGCGTTCTCAATGGCATGCACGTGATTTTCATTCCTTACGCCCTAATGAAAGTAAGCCCTGCCTCGTGGATGCACATGATCACTAAATACAGGTGAGAAACAGTACTTTGTTACAAATCATTAATTATGTGATTAATACATATTTTAACATCCAAATTCTACAATTATATTATAACTAAGAACAGATATAGATTTTTTAATTCATTATAAATAATAATGTAAATAATGCTTATTTAAATAATGAAATAATACTCTTATTTAATATTTTTTTTACTTTACTTGTTGTCCATAGTTGCCATGCTTGGCAGGTGAATTAGCAACCGCGAGTTTTTTATTATATTGAGTTTTTATCATTTGTAAAATGCTGGTGCCCATCTGCTGTTTAACTTCCCCCTGTCGTCTCTTCCGACACTTACGGCGCAGAATTCCGCATTATACTGCTTTAGTGGACCCAAATCATATAAATAACATCGTTTAAAAATAATATATGTGCGAAATATGAAATATTTTATGCTAGGCTAGCTATGTTTAAGATCGTATCTCTGATTTAACATAATAATTAATTGTTTATGACTAAACCAACGGTAGCCAATGCATTCTGTTGAAATCTCGTATAAAAATTCGTTACAAGTAATTTTTTATAACACGCTGTGCGATCATCTCCATCTTTTTACCGTCATATTGTATTTGTGTCCAGGGCGTCAATCGCAATAGTGAAGTCGCGTGACCTACATTGGGGGCTGCTGGCTACGAGAGATCACAAAGAGATTTCGCTGAGTTCACTGCGCATGCTTCTGGTGGCTGATGGTGCCAATCCGTGGTCACTGTCTTCTTGCGACCAGTTCCTGTCTGTGTTCCAGAGTAAAGGTACGTATTAACGTAAGGGCAGTTTTTTTATAACAATAATAGTTATCTCATGTTAAAGATTTACTTTCTTTAAACTGCAATGAAGAATTTTCAAGCAAGAAGAAGGTATTGTTTCAGATGAATTATAACTTTTACAATTATTACATTGAATCTTTTTTTTTTGTATAGGATAGAGTGACAAGCGAGCACACTGTCCTTCCTGATGGTAAGTGGTTGCGATGGCCCATAAACATCTACATCTATCCTCGTTTGCGAATCAAAATGCAGATGCGTTGTCACCCGTGAGGACTAAGATGGAATGCCTCGTTTCCAGTAAAAAGAGTCTCCGGTTCTCTACACTCACCATACGAAACACAGCAGCATTAAGCTACTATTTTACGCTGGTATTCTGTGAGAGCGTGGTCCTTCCCCGGTTGAGCCGACCCATTTGTGCTACAACTATACTACTAATATAACTGTAGCATGGCTCTACCACATATAAAATAATTTTAGTTACTTTATATTAGATAGTTATATGTAGGCCTCCCCCATAGATTATATCGTCTCGCTTGGCAAGCAGGTTGGCAACCGCAGTATTTGTATATAGTTGTTATCAGGAGAACTATTATTTGCTGGAAATTTGGAGACAGACAAAAGGAGAAACCATATTTAAAACATTGGAAAAGTCTTGTGATGAAAAAGAAATTTCCTTGAAGGATATTATATCAGCTGCTACAGATGGTGCTCAAAAATGCTCTCGCGGTGTCAAAAATGCTTCATAGCGTACTTAAAAAACAAAATTCCAAATGTGCTTGCTGTACATTGCGTTACACATCGACAACATTTGGTCGCCAGAAATTTTAGTGAATGACTGTTTCAATCATTGCAACATGTCATCAGAGCAGTCAATAAAATCCGAAACAACTCTTTAAATGACAGATTATTTAATGAGCTTTGTATAACTAATGATGAAGATTTCAACCGATTGATCTTGCTCACAGAAGTGCATTGGCTATCAGAAAGAAATTGTCTGACTCGATTTTTCGATCTGTGTGACTCTGTCGTAGAGTTCTTGGAAAACAAAGACAGAATTGCGCGACAACCTCATCACATCAAAGAATGATATCGCATACCTGACAGACCTTTATAAATTGCTTAATTACATGAATCTCCAACTTCAAGACGATGACTTGAACTTAATGAAAACAAAAATTGGTTGACCCTGGAACATCCCGCTAATTTCAAATGCAAAGCGTCTCAAATTCTACCAAATTATGTTTCGAAATCTCGAAGTTATGATATAAAAAAGTTTTTTTCAAATTCTTTCTCCTTCGATATCTCACGAACGAATGAACCTATTTTTTTCCAAACGGCATTCGACGTCCTTTTTTGAGGTTAAGAGCTGATTCGTTTTTGAAATCGTTAATCAGTAAAGTCGTTTAAAAGTTATTCCAGAAAAAAAAACAGTTTTTCAAAATTTTTATTTTTGAGATTTCTCAAAATCTACTCGTCCGAATCAGTTCATATTATCACCAAATCTATTGCACATTTAGATCTTTAGAAAGCCGCAAACCGCATCTTAATCGATCAAGACGTTCAAAAGTCGCACACCATACGGACTTCCACGTGAAATTAGTCAGAATAGCTTCCTGGGATCTCAAAACGTCGAAATGTGATGAAAACTCGATTTTCGAAAATCGAGCTGAAACCAATAACTTCCCTATTTTTGAAAATTTTCTTAGCGGGAAGTTAAAAATTTCGTGGTTGCTTTTGTAACCAAGCTGCTCTACAACTACTACTACTAACGCAAGAAGAATATCGGCAGACATGATTTCCATAATTTTCCCAATTAATCAGTATCCTGCAAGAACGATGACTTGCTTGTCTACTGCCAACATTTGGAAAATCTCAAAAGTGATTTCATTGACTGAAGATTCCAGGACATTTTGAAATTGGAAATACCAGATTGGGTGTTAAATCCTTTTTCAAATGTCAACATAGCAGTATCACCCCAACTGGAAGAAGAACTTATAGAACTGACAACGAACGAGGAAATAAAAATCAAATTCAATAATGGCTACCAAAAATTTCGGCTACAAAAGTCAATCGCGCAGTTGTACGCTGGATTGTGGTCGATCGTTCAACGATTTTTGATAGCATTCCCATCGTCATATTTGTGTGAACGTTGCTGTGGCAAGCTGCTTATAAAAAAATCCTTTGCATGTTACCGAATATTCATGCTGTTACCGCGTTGACGTACGACTGTTTTTGAGTTAAATCGAACCTGATATCAACAAACTTGTAAAAAATCATAAAATTCGTCCATCTCATTAGATTTTTTTAAACTAATTGATTAGCTATCTCTATTTTTTATTTTTATTTGATTATAATATATTCTTAATATTATAAAGTTGCGTTTTAATTGCTCTCACTGGTAATAATGTCTAGCTTAGAATGTAAGTTTAAACACCAGAACCGACTAATATAGGGCACTGTAACTAAATTAATGTAAGTAATGAAATTGTGGTTTTCAAGTTTTAGGAGTGTATAAAAATATTAAAAAGTTGGAGGCGCTGAAACATAATTGATTTTCAAACGGGACGGTAAAAGAAATAAGTTTGATAATCTCTATTATAAAGTAATAAAAGCAAAATTGACGAAAGAGGACGTGGGTCTATGGCATAATGAAAAGCGGTTTACTTAATTTGATTGTGTATTTTGATACATTTATTTACTGACATTCGTATTTATCACAGAATTATTTTATGAAAATGATATATTTTACTAATCGAAGTATCGGCCTCTATTGTCAATTAATTTGCAATTTTAATGCAAGTTTATTACCTACCTTACTGTTACGTACGTTTATTACCTAACTTACCTGGGACCGGGCGACCCCAGAATTAGGCTAGCCTTACCCTGGCAGGCGGGGCTCTGCGGGGGGGGACAAACCTTTCCTTCGCTATTCGTGGGAACGCAATGGATAATCAAAAAATTAACCAAAATGGCGGCAATGTGGCTTGCCACCCAACACGTCTCGTTTGTCGCGGGGGCGAAAAGCGGCCCACGGAGAGCCGCTTCGCTACGTTGAATGTAAGAGGAGGGATGGATGGTAAGGTAGATGGAGTATGTCAGATGATGGATGAACGTTGCATTGATATTCTGTGCGTGAACGAAACCAAGAGGAAAGGATGTGACACCACGGTTCATGGCCCCTACACGGCATACTGGTCGGGAGTCCCCCAAACCAGCCGAGGCTGTCAGGGAGTTGGTGTGATTCTTTCATCTCGAATGGTTGAATGTGTGATGGAGCATGAATGTGTAAGCCCAAGACTCCTCTGGATTAGGTTAAAAGTCGGACTCACCCGCTTGTTTATCCTTGGGGTCTATGCACCGACGGATCTGCGTGGAGGTGGGTCACTAAAATCACAACAAGAGAGAGAGGAATTTTGGGATAGCATGAGAGAGGTCTTGAATAAATGCGGAGAAAATAAACGGATCGTGATGTTAGGGGACTTTAATGGATGGGTTGGAGTAAAGCGTGATGGGTATGAAGGAGTTCTGGGTATGTTTGGGGACGAGAGATTGAATGACAATGGGAGAAGCCTGCTTGAAGTATGCTTGGAATGGAATCTGTGCGTGACCAACACAATGTTTGACCACAAAAAGATCCATATGTGTACAAGAGATGAGGGTGAGTCTAGAAGTATGATTGATTTTGTAATTGTGGATGAAAGACTGAAGAAGAAAGTGCTAGACACTCGGGCATACCGCGGTGTAGACCTCGACACAGACCATTTCCTGGTCATAGCCCGAATGCGTGGCCTCTAAACGGTGGCGACACCGAGGGGCCGAGCCTACGAGTGTTTTGGAGAAATCTACAAGAAAAAGAAAAGAAAGACGAGTATGTAGAGAAACTGAAAGAAAGTTTTAAAGGGATAGAAGAGATAGGAGTGATTGAAGATTTGTGGGAGACATTTAAGAAAGGGGTTGTAAATGTTGCGATTGAGGTATACGGGGTAGCTAAAAGAAGGAAAGGGAGAAAGAATGATAACGTGTGGATGGATAAAGATGTACAAAGGGTTGTGCAAGAAAAGAAGAAAGCGTGGTTGGATTGGTTAGCAACAAAAGCTAACAAAAAAGTTCAAAAGGCAACGGATGACGAGATAAAGGAAGCAAGAACGAAGTATAAAAGATTGAAAACAGCAGCGAAAGAAACTGTGTCTAGAAAGAAAGAAGAACGAAAAGATTATTTCGATAGGAGGCTCACTGAAGATTTCCAGTCAAACATTAAGTTTTTCTGGAAAACCATCAAAACAGCCAGAGGAAAAACTTCTACCTCGGAGCTGAGTACAATCAGGAGTCAAGATGGGAGCATTATAAAAGGAGAAGAATGTGTGTTAAAGAGATGGAAAGAGTATTTTAAAAGTTTGTTTGAAAGAGAGGAAGTGCAGGTACAGCATCTGCCACCTTCCACGGAAACGAATATAAATGTTGATGAAAATGAGATAAGCATGGATGAAATAGTGAAAGCGTTGAAAAGTATGAGATTAGGTAAGGCTGCAGGGTATGACAGGATTACCGTCGAGATGCTGAGGGCTGGACAGGGCCTGGTGGCTAGTCAGCTGTACCGCCTTTTCAATCTGTGCTGGCGAAATGGGCAAGTGCCGGGAGACTGGTGCAAAGCCGTAATCGTGCCATTGTATAAGGGAAAAGGGTCACGGCAGGACTGCATAAATTACCGTGGTATAAGCCTTCTTAGCGTGGTCGGTAAATTGTATGCGAAAGTGTTGATTGAAAGGGTTGTGAATGAAACAGACGAGAAAATATGGGATGCACAAGCGGGATTTAGAAAGGGAATGGGATGTACGGATCAGGTCTTTTCCTTGCGGTGCATAGCCGAAAAGTGTTTGGCTAAAAACAAGAAAGTCTACTGCGCCTTCGTAGATCTAGAAAAGGCCTATGATAGAGTGGTGAGGAATGAATTGTGGTCAGCATTGTCCATGAACGGTGTGAGCAGTGTCCTCATACGAGCATTGCAATCTCTTTATAGGGATTCTAGTGCTTCTGTAAGGATAAACGGGGCATACACTGAATGGTTTAGTATCGAAAAAGGTGTTAGACAGGGATGTGTAGCGTCACCGTGGCTGTTTAATCTGTTCATGGACAATTGTTTGACAGATTTAAAAGAGAATGAAAGTGGGTTGAGAATGAATGAGTTACTCGTCAAATGTTTTCTCTATGCTGATGACCAAGTATTACTTGCGTCTTCGGCCGAGGAGTTGCAGGAGATGGTAACTGCTATGAGTGGAGCTTTTGTTAGAAAGTGAATGAAGATGAATGTAAGGAAGACGAAAGTGATGGTGTTTGAAAAAGATGAGGCAGTGACAGACTACAATATCGTGATTGAAGATGAACAAATTAAACTGGTGAAAGAGTTTGTGTATCTGGGGTCAAAGTTTACAAGAGATGGAAAGTGTGAGAGTGATATCGAAAGAAGAGTGAATGCAGGAAACATGGTGAATGGAGCTTTGCACTCCTTTATGAGCAGTCGGAAAGTGTCTAACAAGGCTCGTTTGGCTGTGCATGAGGGGGTGTTGGTTCCGACACTCATGTACGGAAGTGAAAGTTGGGTATGGCAGAAGAAACATGAAAGTAGAATAAATGCATAATGATTTCTTCAATTTACGCGAACACTACACATTGAATAAAACTAAATTTACGGATTTTATCGCGTTTATTTCACTACTTTTACTTATTTTTAATTCCCGACGTTTCGGGTGCTTTACAGCAACCATGGTCACGGGGGGAACTGAGATGTTTGACGTCCCAATGTCATAGTTAGTCCGGCTATCTTCAGTTTTTGAATATTAATTTTCGGTCCGATTTACGTAAAACGAGCTTATAGTATCATGAAGTCTTGCAGTGGTATGCTTAGGTTTGGGTTTAATTTTGTTAATTATAGGATCCCAAGCAGGTGGCAGCACCCATCCATCTTCTCTATTGAAATTTGGATGTTTTTTAATTTCAATAGCCTCGCGTATCATCCTTGGTAGGAATCGGTGTTCTTTTGCGAGAATTTGTGGTTTATCAAAACGAATGTAATGGTGGGGACGATCTTGAACATGTTCGCAGACTGCAGACTTCCCGGAGCGTCGGTGCTTCACGTCAGCTATATGTTCTTTAACGCGGGTTTTTATGGATCTTTTTGTTTGACCTATGTAAGAGAGACCACATTCACAATCTAACTTGTACACTCCTGCATCTTGTAGAGGGATATTACACTTGACGGATGGTAAAAATTGACTAATCTTCTTCGGCGGCTTGTAGTATGTTTTAATAGAAGCTCGCTTCAAGATGTAGCCAACCTTGTCTGTGACTCCTCTGACATATGATAGTACAGCAGGTACACGCTCGACTGTGGCCGGCTTCACTCGGTCACTGTGACGTAGGCGCGGGACCCGAAGCTTGTTGTCTTGCAATACTTCCTTGACGTGCTGAAGTTCGGCGGCCAGATGTTTTCGTTTTTGTTGATGTTGTGTTTTGAAGTCAGCTACCGTTACCGTTTCACAGTTAGCTACCGTGGGTAAATCTTTGTTTCAGAGAGCACGAGGGATCTGTGACAGAAAAATTTTTCCCTGCTATAAGTTACCTAAATTTTGTAAAAAACATGGATATTTTGTGTAGTAGTAAGATCTACATGTGGTGAAGCACGGGGAGCTTATTTAGCAGCATTTTCTCAAAACTCTTCATTTTATAATGCTGGCGCAGTGCCACCAATACTGTCACAAACATAATTTAATAAAAAAGAATTCCGCGAAGACACAGTTCAGGGGTGATAACGTATATGTTATTTTCTTTGTTTGAAGTTAATTGTAGGCTTCCATAGACTGCAGTAGGTAACTTTCATTATTCATACATTTATGGTTTCGGTTTCAGTTATAATTTCTATGTTAGGCACAATAAAATTACATTGTGATATTGTAATTTTTTCATTATAAAATCCCCATTAATTAAATATGCATTTTTCATTTCTCTCTGATTGGTCATAAGTTTGACGCAATGTCAATTTTATTGATTTTAGTGCTATGTAGATGCATGAAATGTGTACATTAGATGAAGGGACAAGGTGGTCTGGGGTGAGGTGGTCAGGGACTGGGGTGCGACGCGCGCATCTTTCCGCGCATCCGATTTGAGCCCCGGGAATCTAGAATTCCTTCCATTCTGAGCTAACTCGTATTTCGTACAGTCAAATTTTTATGTTACGGTAGATTCTTCAAAATATTTTTTGTCAAGTGTTAAAGATAATGTTGATCAATCTTTATCGATTTAACTTTGCGATTTTTCGTTTCGTAAGTGTCTTTATTTGTGGCTTCCAATGTGATATTCATTTTTGGGCGGGGTAGTGTTTTGGAAATGAATTTTACTATCGTCAAGATATTAAATTATTGATAGTCTTTAATAAATTACTTTGTATTATAATAAAAGTTTTAGTTATTTTAGACTATTGTTTCTCTAATAATAGTATCTCCATAGATAACTTCTAATAAGAAATTAATTATCAAAGGCTTTCGATTATCTGACAAATGTACGTAACGAACTACATTATTGGATCGGAGGAGATTCTAGAAATATAAGTTTTACTTGAGCATCTTCGCCTATCCGTGAAACTGGGGTAGAGAAAAGGGCTCTGCGCTTGAGGTTATAAGATGTGACGAATTTACTGCTATTGTTCGCGTATAGGTGTGCGCGGCGACGCGATATGCCCGTGTGCGTGCAGCAGCGAGTCCCTCACGGTGTGCGTGCGGCGCGCCGGCCGCGGCGGATCGTCGGCGGGCCGCGGCGTCCTCTCCATGTCGGGGCTTTCCTTCGGCGTGGTGCGCGTCGACGCTGAAAATTCCCTCACTTCACTCACTCTGCAAGATTGCGGACAAGTTATGCCGTCATGTAAGTGTCAATTTAATTCATTTTACGTTAATTTGAAGTTATATCAAGCGTATACAACATTCTTATCGAAATTATTGAAAAAATTTATATAAATATCATAACTCGAGAAAATGTTTTATGTTGTATGAGTTTTTAAACATGGAACGATCATGATGTCCATCTGTGATCGATAGTGGAGTTCTGGTCCTTAAACGTTATGCTGTGTAATATGCACGCTCAAACCGTGGGTGTGTGGTTCTCCGTCGGCGGACAGTTCTAAGCTGAATGCTTAAGTAGTATTTACATTATTTTGTAGGAAAAATATTATGGAAGCGCTATAATGGTGATGTCGATAATGGTTAGGGACTAACAATTGTGAATGCATCATAATGTTACCATATTTATGTAAATGTCTGTCCTTTAGGCGTGATTGTGGTAGTGAAAATGGAGGGTCCGGCGTATCTCTGCAAGACGGACGAAGTGGGTGAAATATGCGTACTCTCCGGTGCCACAGGCTCCGGTTATTGGGGACTGCCAGGTCTCACTAACACTGTTTTCCGAGTACGACCATTAGATTCGGATGGGGAACCGATCGGAGAAGAATACTATGTTAGAAGTGGGTTGCTGGGATTTCTTGGCCCCGGTGGTAAGAGCAAATTTATTTAACATTAATTATAAAATTGTGGCATTTTTTCATCTATTATTTTGTTATTTTAACTTCGATGTATTTTTCAGAACATAAATCAATCAGAAATAGTATAAGCAAATCTGAATTGTTATGTACATGTAAAAGTACTATTGGAGTGTTAATGTCAAAAATTCAATTACTGATAATGTCATAGAACCGCCACTTCTTCATGACTTTCCGGGGTCCAATTACCAAATCAGGCTTGTGTAATAGCTATACATCGTCCTATCTTACAGAAACTTTCATAGTAATACATTCAATATATACTTCCTTAAGTGTGTCCATTATACTTAATAGATACAACACTTAAGGAATACAAAAACATATATTACCTGACTGGGGACAGACTCAATATCAAACATATACATTGTACAAGTTTTATTAAGTTCGAACGCAAACAGCAACAAATCTTAAAATTTACAGTTTTGTGGGGTGCAAATGCAAGCATCTACAAAACATGTCGTGTAATTTATTTTATACGACAAATTTCGAAACATTACAAGTTGAATGTTTTTGGTGACAGTAAGAAATGCACAGTAACGATTGTTAAACCTTTCTAGCATTTCATGACTTTCTCCCTTGGCAGGCATATGAGCCCTTTCCGAGAACAGAGTTGCTTAAATCATATCATAATATAGTCGAAACTAAAACAGTAACTATTTTTTATAGGATATTGTGACAAACGAGCACACAGTCCGTCTGATGGTAAGTGGTTGCTGTGGCCCATAGACATCTAGATTTATCTCAATTTAGAATCAAAATGCAGATATGTTGTCACCCCTGAGGACTGAGATGGAATGCGCGTTTCCAGTAAAAATGGTCTCCGGTTCTCTACACTCACCATGCGAAACACAGCAGATTAAAGCTACTATTTCACACTGGTTTTCTGTGAGAGCGTGGTCCTTCCCCGGTCTAGCCGATCCATTCGTGCTACAACTATATTACTAATATAACTGCAGCATGGCTCTATTACGTATAGAATAATAAATAAATAAGTAAAAAAAATATAAAATAAAAAATATATAATACAGAAAAAAAAGTTATAATGGGAGTGACAATCGAGCACATGACCTCGATTAATAATCAAAACTCAGATGCGTTGTTGTTGAACTAAGATGAAATGCCTCGTTTCGAGTAAAAAGGTACTACTGTATAGTGAAAATAATTCAGTTAATATTATCTGCAAGCGCTATAGGTATTTTTGTACTTAACTTACAAAATTTCATTTTGAGAAAGGTGTAAAGTAAATATAACAAAGTACGTAAAAGCTGAAGAGAGTATAAAAAATAAGGGACATAATTAAATTTGTTGCTAAGTTCATCTTAAAAACAAATGACAAAAACAAAATGACATTCTATTATAGTTTGTGTCTACTGATACAGAACTTAAAAACAGTCCAGCACTGGAATAGATGATATACCTAACAAAGTGCAAAAATTATCTAGGCATGTCTTTGTGCCTTCTTTTATGCATAAATCGTATAAATCAGAACAGATATGTCATGATTTTTTATATCGGCACTTATTTAACTAATTTATAAAGTCGGGAGTTAGTATCGAAATAATATTGACCAAATTGAATTATGCACTTATTGTAAAAGGCTCAGAATATAGAAAAAACCAGAAGTCGCGTTCAGCTGTAATTACACGCCGCACACAACCCGTAACATTCATTGCTATGCAGATGACAGCACTGGTGATGCTCTTTACACCGGCCGAGCCAATATTTCTCGGGAAAACGTCTCCGAGTGCCGGGACAAACTTGTGTCTGAAGTCGAGTCTTTGCTGAACAGAGTCTCGGATTGGGGGCGACTAAATATAGTCCAGTTTAACCCCCAGAAGACACAAGTATGCGCGTTAACCGCTAAAAAGAACCCCTTTGTCGTATCTCCATACCATCCACATCATCTGGATACTTGGCGGTCCACCACTGTTCGTTTCAAGAGGAGTTTTCTTCCGCGTACAACCTCTTTGTGGAATATTTTACCACCAGCGATTTTTCCGGACCTATACAACCTGGGGACCTTCAAGAAAAGAGCGTACTCCTTTCTAAAGGGCAGGCAACGCACCTGCAATTCCCCTGGTGTTGCGGTTGATCATGGGTGGCGGTAGTCACTTAACATCAGGTGAGCCGCATGCTCGTTTGCCCCCACTTCTATAAAAAAAACACTGTCCAAAAACAAAACAAACGTCCCGCGCCCGTCCCACTTCCCACACGTGTAAAGTCTTATCAAACCTCGCTTTTGTCCGTGTTTCTTGTATTATACTTGTCCCCTCGTTTTCCTTTGTCAATGTTATTAATTGCAAAGTTAAACTGTATTATTTCGTAATCTAAGAAAAGTTTTTAGCGATGGAAATGTCTATATATTATTATTTTGCTGCAAAAACTTCACTTTAATTAATTTGATAAATATATATACTAAAAAAATGGCCCCGAGTTCCCGGCGCCCCTTTAATGGGGCAAGGGTGCGAAGAATCTCCGGGAGGAAAACCGGCGACGAGGTTCGCCACCCGTCACGTTCTGTCTCCCGGAGAGGCGAAAAGTGAATTGCAGAGGCCCGTCTGGCTACGTTGAATGTATGTGGGGCAATGAATGATAAAATGGATGAAGTATGCGATATGATGTATGATAGAGGAATAGATGTGTTATGTGTAGATGAGACTAAAAGGAAGGGGAAGGATGTCACTACACATGGCATGTATACCGCATACTGGTCTGGTGTAGACGAGTTCGAACGGGCATGGCAGGGGGTAGATATCATCCTTTCAGAAAGAATGGGCCAATGTGTGAAAAAGTATGAATGTGTAAGCCCAAGACTGCTATGGATACGAATGAAAGTGGGCTTAAAGAAGTTGTTTGTGTTAGGGATCTACGCCCCAGACATGTCTAAGCCCACTTATATCCGAGAGCAGTTTTGGGAAATGGTAAGGATGGTGTTAATGAAGTGTAAGGGAAATGAAAATATTATTATGCTAGGAGATTTTAACCCCTTCCAGGATTTAAACCCTTCCAGGGTTGGGGTGAGGAGGCTTGGTTATGAAAGGATATTGGGAACGTTTGGTGATGAAAGTATAAATGAGAATGGTGAAAGTCTCCTCACCGTATGTATGGAAAAGAATCTTTTTGTGACGAACACTTGCTTTCGCCACAAGAGGATTCATACTTGTATACTTGGGAAAGAGATGACGATAGAAGCATGATAGATTTCATAATTGTGGATGAAAGATTGAGGGGCGCAGCTGTAGATACAAGGGTTTACCGGGGTTCTAACGTAGGAACGGATCATTATTTGGTTTTATGCCGAATTAATGGTCTATTCAGGCGTTGGCGCCATCGATCATCTGTGTCTACCACTGCGTTACAGCGTATTAGAACAGAAAGGTTACAAGATGAAGGTGAGAGAAACAAGTTCAAATGTAGACTGAAGAAAATATAAGTGGTTTGGATGAATTATGTATGAAGGAGTTAGACTTGGAGAATGTATGGCAAAATGTAAAGAAAGGTTTAGTGGATGCAGCTACCGAAGTATGTGGTGTTAGTAAGAGGAAGAATGAAAGGAAAAATAATACGTTATGGTGGGATGATGAGATACGTATGGAAGTTGAAGCAAAGAAGAGAGCATGGCTAGATTTACTAGCAACAAAGCTGGTAATTCTAGCGGTACGAATGATGATATTGGAAGAAAAAAGGCAGTCTTTAAACATCTTAATAAGAGAGTAAAAGAAGTAGTTGAAAGAAAAAAGCAAGAAAGAACGGATAAGAATGATAGAAGAATATCGGATAACTTCCAGGCAAATATTAAAATGTTCTGGAAACTTGTAAGAACTGCCAGGGGACATTTAAAACAGCCTATGATGAATGTTATAAGAGATGAGGATGGCTATATTCTGAATGATGAAGTTTTGAGAGAGATGGAAGGAATATTTTGAAAGCGTGTTTATGAGTGAGGAGACAACATGTGTACTAAGTGAAGTAGAAACTCCGAAAGAAGAGGAAAGAAGTAGCGAGATAAGTATAGATGAAATAATGAAAGCAATGAAAAGCATGAAAGCAGGTAAGGCTGCCGGATATGATAGTTTCACTCGAAATGCTAAGAGCTGGAGAGGAAGTGGTGGCAGGCCAGCTGCACACCTTGTTTAATTTATGCTGGGAAGTGAAGCGGGTACCGGTAGACTGGTGCAAAGCCGAGATAGTCCCAGTATATAAAGGAAAAGGGTCGCAGCAGGATTGTAAAAACTACCGTGGCATCAGCCTTCTTAGCATTGTGGGAAAACTGTATGCTAAGGTACTGATTGAAAGGGTCATGAAAGAAACTGATGGAAAAATTTGGGATGTGCAAGCGGGATTCAGAAAGGGAATGGAATGTACAGAACAAGTCTTTTCCATGCGCATGATCGCGGAGAAGTTTTTGGCCAAAAACCAAAAGGTTTTTGTGCGTTCATGGACTTGGAAAAGTTCAGAGTGGATAGGGATGTGCTATGGCAAACACTGAACTCATTTGGGTTGAGCGCTGGCTTGATACAGGCATTGGAGTCTCTTTATAGGGACTCTAGTGCTTGTGTTAGTATCAACGGGGTCTACTCGGACTGGTTTGACATCCATAAAGGTGGCAGACAGGGCTGTGTGGCTTCCCCGTGGCTGTTCAACCTATTTATGGACAGTTGTTTGCAAAATTTGAAAGTTGAAGAATGCGGATTAAGAATGGGATGAGTTAACCGTCAAATGCCTTTTGTACGCCGATGATCAAGTTATCCTTGCGTCGTCGGCGGCCGAGTTGCAAATGATGGTTACATTAATGAACAGATCATTAAAAGAAAGGGGTATGAAAGTGAACGCAAGGCGAAGGTTATGGTTTTTGAAAGAGAAGAAAGTAAAACGAATTGTGAAATAAGAATAGAAGGGGAGTTGATCGAGCAAGTAGATGAGTTTGTATATTTGGGATGCGTATTTAGCATGGATAGGAGATATGATAAGGATATAGAACGACGAGTGAACAGTGAATGCGGGAAATAGAGTAAATGGGGCCCTGCACTCTATTGTGAAGAGTCAAAATGTGTCAAAAAAGGCACGTATGGCAATTCACAATGCTGTGTTGGCCCTACTTTAACTTATGGTAGTGAAAGTTGGGTGTGGCAGAAGAAGCACCAGAGTAGAATCAACGCAGTAGAAATGCGGTCGTTAAGGAGTATGTTAGGTCTGAATCTGAACGACAGGATAAGAAATTGTGTAATAAGAGAAGAGTGTGGTTTGCAAGATGATGTTGTGACCAGGATTAAGAAAGGAATGCTTCGGTGGTTTGGTCATGTGGAAAGAATGAATGAGGAAAGAGTGACAAAGAAAATGTATGTTGCAGAAGTGAATGGCAGAGTCGGAAAGGGACGTCCTAGGCGAAAATTTATCGACCAAATTGGCGATTTATTGAAAACGGGCCAAATTAGGAGTACCCTTAACCGACGAGCATGTATGCGTAGGTGTATGGATGTGAAGGAGGCGAGAGAGGTGTGTCAGGATCGTGCCAAATGGAAGTCTGTAGTCTCTGCCTACCCCTCTGGGTGACAGGCGTGAGTGTTTATATGTATATATACTAAGTAATCAACGTACTATCTACATAAATATTTTGCATTGACGCTTCGTTTGATACTATAACTACTAATGCTATTAGTAATTAAAATTAGGGAAAAAATGTTTACGCCAACCACAGAAGTCGTAATAATAAGACAATAGAAGTCGCATAGACGCGCGACCTTGTCGCCGCTATTATGTGTTGACGAACATAATTCACCATTTTGTGATTTAGTTGCGCGGGGAACGTCGTACGTGAATTTATGTAATTATAATGGTGAACTGCAGCATAATAGTAAAAAATGTAGTAAAAACTCATCAAGGACGTGTAATTGAACTAATAAAAGCATAACATTTCACTGGTAAGTGTATTATTTACTAGTTATCATTGTTTTAACTAATTTACATCTATATGAATACTTTACTAATTATATTTACCTTTGTAAACTTTCTTTTATTACTTTTTGTATTGACAATTACCATTGCTGCCTTTGTTCTACCGTAATACGCGACGCACGCGACATTGACAAACTCACCAAGCAATGTAATGTGAAACATTAGATATCATTGTGCATTGCGTATGTTTATAATACGGCTGCAGGTGGCGACATCGGTTTTGAAAGTAATCGAGCGCTAATTCATTTATATTGTGTTATTATTACGATTTCTGTGACGCCAACATAAGAAAGCAGTTAAATAATTTTTGATAAACTAAATGAATGCCGTTTAATCACAAATAACATGACTCTTAATAATTCAAAGTAGTGAAAAACAAAACTGTTACATTGGCAACACTAAACACAAAATGAACCCATCATTCTCTAATACAATTACGAACAGAACAAATAATTCAAATCGTAAATAAAACAGTGACTGAATGCGCTACTTGCACGTGAAATGTTATGCCATCCTATTTCTTTTGGAACTTAACAGCTATTTTACAGCCAAGACGTCATAATTTAATTATTTTTGACACTGGCAAAATATATCACGCCATACGACGTTCATAGAGTGACTATTCGCCTGAACGTGAAACTATACAATTTACGTATAGTTTTCGTTGCCTCAGTTTTAAGAGCGTTCGCGGCATGTGGTTTTTTTCTGTATTCTGAGGTCTAAGGTGTGTAATATGTAAAGGGAAACCTTTTATACTTATTTTATTTATCTAAAAGGCCTAAAACTCGAACCAAGCGTGTAAACGTGATCGATGTAACGAGGGACTCTATGTATATCATATTATGCTCCCTAATTAAGTATTCTTGGCCCTAGCTTTGGGATATTTTCTAGGATTCATACAAGACCGTCATATTAGATTCATAGGTGTATGGTGAATGTATAAAAATATATCAGAAATAATATTATATCGATGTCATATTTATAACAGGTTTGGTATTCGTGTGTGGTTCTCGCGATGGTCTAATGACAGTTACTGGTCGTAAACACAACATGGATGACATCATAGCTACTGTACTCGCAGTAGAACCGATGAAATTCATATATCGAGGGCGCATCGCCGTGTTCTCCGTGAGGGTACTGCGTGATGAGCGAATATGTATTGTAGCTGAACAGCGTCCAGACTGTGGAGAGGAGGAGGTTAGTTTTGATTCACATTTAACGTTTAGTCCTTTTTTGAGTAGATTGTGAATTTCATACTTATGTTTATGCATAAAAATTACAAATTTTACAATGACTAAGAATAAAAAGCTGGCGACGTATAAGTGTTTACCTAAACGTTATATATTTTTTTATATTCTTAATAATACTCCGTTAGATATATTTCAGCAAGCAACGTGATAAGAAGTTTTATTAAGGGTTCTTAAAATTAAATTTATGATTTTAACATAGAAAACATCTTATTAGCTGTGAACCTTCACCGAAAAAAGGTAAATATGTATCTAAACAAGATTTTCAACACTTCACTATGATATTAACCTATTTTTTTTTCAGGTACTAACGCCCCTGTTAACACCACTAATACTACTAACATTACTAACCCGAAATTTCTTAATAAAGAGGATAAAGACATTACACTGGGTCCTACAACTGAACGTAACGATGATTATGAGACCGTTATGACTAAATCATATGATGTCAATACTAACTGTGCAGAAAATAATACACAAAAAGATGACGCTAACGTTGTTGCGCAAGGCAGTACAAATAATACCGCTCGTAACGATGGAGAAGGCAGTGCTCAGAATGTAATCCCTGGTACCAACGATATCGCTGAAAGCGATAATCATGACGTTGCGGCTGACAATGCACTACAAGTACCACAAAATGACGAACCTGATAACGCACGTATCAATGAACAGAATATCGCGTCTAACGAAGCACGCGATGTTGCTCCTAACGATAGAAATGATGTCAATGATGGCAATGCAGTTAGTGGCACATCCCGTGAACGAAATATTCCACCTAATGTAAATTATAACAATAGATCGGTGATCAACGGCAACCGTAATGGCATATCTAATGTTATTCAAAATGTTATAATTCGAGCTGCTAATGAGCATAGAAATGATCAACAAAATCGAGCACCCCTTGCCCCTAATAATGTACGGGAAAATAATATTCGAGATGAAAACAATGACCTGCCTGACTATGAAAGTGACAATGAGTTGCACATAGTGAATCCTAGAAACCTCGATAACATTGATCCACGTTATTTTTTTCTTAGACCGTTCTTGGAAATAAGACTCCAAGACCTCGACAGTAGCGATGACTCTACTGACACCAATTCGTTATAAACATTTTATGAAAATTTCTCAATGTATGTATACACACGATATGAAAATAAAACCTTGTCCGATTCTTCTTATATGTTCTGTTTATGTGATCGTTTTGATCCTTTCAAAAGATATTGACAAAAATTAATAAAATTTAATTAAATGGGGAAACTTACATAGCAATACATGTGGCGCAGACGGTAGGTAACACTATCGCTACATTTACACAAAGACACCATCGCCGTAGGCTGTGTTGTCAGATTATCAAAATTGCTAAATATGATGCGAACTGTAGTGCAAAAAACATTTATTTTAAATGACAATAGCATTTTTGTATTGATTCATTAATAAAAAATTATTTTTAATTATAAAATATGTGACTATCGGATCGGATAGGGTTTTCTTTACATACCTATTGTAGATTTAATCAATAAACATGTTTAATTACTACTTAGTAGTAGCCGTTGTAGTGATAAAGTACGATAATGTATTTCCCAATCTAAGTGTCTCATGAATAAAGCAGCAAGTAGAAAGCAATGTAATCTTTTGAAATGATAATATTAATTTAAAAGCGACAGTAGCCTAATGGCAGGGTGCGGACCGCGAACTCAAAAATGTCGTAGGTTCGAATTCACCATTCGACTACTGGCGTGAACCACTCGTAACACAAGCAATTTAAGCTTACCACGAGTGGTTAAGGAGAATATTAATAATGTTTATAGCATTGTTAATATTCTTTTTTAAAAAAAATCAAAATATATCATAATCTTTATTACAATATAATTAAATGTTCTTAATACGTACGTACACTGTAATCTCGTAATTGAAATCAAGATATAATGTTTGCTTAAAGCTATTGGGTGTAATCTAAAATCTTATGTATCCTATTAATGTCAAATATAACACTGTAATACACTAACATTTCTCTTATTTATTTTATTAAATAATGTGTAATATGTTATAGCATCTCGAACACTTCGTCGCCAGTTTTAGTCTATTTTCATGTTTTATATTATTAGTCATTAAAAACATTAAATCAAACAACATTTTAATAAATCTTCTGTAAGAATATTGCAAATTGCCTGTATAAAATATATTCAACTTTATTTAGTCAGTTTGCAACACCTTTACTATAATTTAGTAGCTATTTCAGCTCAAGCCCATAATCCTATTTTTAAATAAAAAAGAGCATTGAATCGAAGAAAGCTTAATACGTCCATCGTGCACACGCCATATAATTTATATACTACTGGAGTAAAATGTGCCTGGGACGTGTTACGCTTTCGTATTTTTAGTATTCAATGCGTTAGGGAAAGGTATAGAAGGTAAGAAAGGTTTTTCCTACAGTCGTTTCAGTGGATGTCTCGAGTACTTCAGGCTGTCGATTCCATACATCAAGTTGGTATCTACTGTCTCGCGCTGGTACAACCTAACTATCTTCCGAAGACGCCGCTGGGTGGCATTCACCTTAGCGAATGCAAACGGCGTTTCCTGGAAGGCACGTTACACCCCGCCAACGTCTTGATGTGCCCGCATACTTGTGTTACCAATCTACCTAAACCAAGGGAAATTCACTCAGGTACTAAAGCTTTTCTGTATTTGAAATTAAATTTCTATATTGTACATATGACTGTTAATAATTGGCGAACAAAAAACACAAATATAATTTATTAAAATTATCGATTTTTGTAAACTCTGTGATGTTTGATATGATTGAAACACTAGTTCTTTAAAAAAATTTGGAAAATAGTTATGACATGAAATATAATTAAAAATAACTTATTAGGCGACAGAAATGACTAGTAAGTATGTGATAACAGCTGTCAACGAAATAGATAGTAGAAGTAACTAAAACACATTTTTTTTCGTCACCAAATGTCAGGGTGTAGGTATTTAATCTTCATCCCATTCCTATTGATCCGACTCGCATTCATAAATTACTAAAACACGACACAGGACACTCGAACGACAAATGCGATTTTTTTAATTTCTATGTAGAATATGACAAATGAGGGCACGGTCCATCTGATGGTAAGTGGTTGCTGTGGCCCATAGACATCTACATCTATCCTCGATTACGAATCAAAATGCAGATGCGTTGTCACCCGTGAGGACTAAGATGGAATGCCTCGTTTCCAGTAAAAAGGGTCTCCGGTTCTCTACTCTCCATACGAAACACAGCAGCGCTATGCTTCTATTTTACGCCTGTATTCTGAGAGGGCGTGGCCTTTCCCCGGTCGTGTAGACTGTACTACTAATATAGTTCGCTTGTTCTATATGGGACTGTGGGCGACGCTTCTTCAGAATAATTGCCTGTGCTTATATAAACGCGTAACATATGGTTAAAATATTAACGTAAAAACCGTCCCACCAAGATTTGTCCTCGACCTTACCACGACGGAGATTTTCTAAAAGTGTAATAACAACATAGATTATCTTTGTATTTTGATCTAGTATATGTCTTACACTTAATTAAAATTATTATTCTGATCCTTATGTTTCATATTGGTTTTTCTTATTTCTTTAATGATTTTATTATTTCCTCAAACTTTGAAGTAAATTGTGACTAGTTGGACTATCCGCAGATGTTGGCCCAGCGTCAGTCATTGTGGGAAACCTGGTGCAAGGCAATCGACTCGCTTCTGCCCAAGGGCGCGATATGGGATATACTGATGATTCCGACGCGGCACGAAAGGTTTGTATGAATCTTTCAGGATTTAAATAATGCCAGACAATATCTCCTAAAGATTTTGCATTAACTCTAGTTTTGTTTTTTTTTCGTTTTCAGTATCAATTCATATCGCAAATACTACGATGGCGCGCTCAAAGCACATCTGACCACGTTATATTTACACTGCTCAATTCTAAAGGCGCCATTTCTAAAGTTTTAACATGTGCCGAATTGCATAAGAAGGCTGAAAGAATTGGTAATCTTCTGCTAGAGAAAGGTCGCGTAAATACAGGAGATCACGTTGCCCTAATATTCCCACCGGGATTGGATCTTATTTGTGCTTTCTATGGATGCTTGTACGTGGGTGCCGTCCCCGTAACGATCCGGCCACCACATCCGCAAAACTTGCACACCACACTGCCGACTGTTCGCATGATAGTCGACGTCAGCAAAGCAACGCTAGTCCTCTCCAATCAATCTGTGATAAAACTGCTGCGATCTAAAGAAGCGAGCAATGTTCTCGACAGCAAAGCATGGCCTATAACCCTTGATACGGATGATATGCCCAAAAAGAAACTGCCTATCCTCTACCGAGCGCCTACGGCTGAAATGTTGGCTTACTTGGACTTCAGTGTTTCAACAACGGGCATGCTAGCGGGGATCAAGATGTCGCATGCGGCAGTGACGTCTCTTTGCCGCTCTATGAAAATAGCTTGCGAGCTTTATCCGTCGCGTCACATTGCACTCTGTCTCGACCCGTACTGCGGCTTAGGGTTTGCTCTATGGTGCTTGAGTAGCATTTATTCGGGTCACCACTCTATCCTTATCCCGCCATCTGAAGTCGAAATAAACCCGGCTCTTTGGCTTAGCGCCGTATCACAACATAAAGTCCGCGACACCTTCTGCTCTTACGGTGTAATGGAGTTGTGCACTAAAGGCCTAGGTAGTTCTGTCAACCAGTTAAAATCGAAGGGGATCAATTTAGCATGCGTTAGAACGTGTGTAGTTGTCGCTGAAGAGCGACCGAGGATCAATTTGACGAATTCGTTTTCAAAGCTGTTTTCTGCTTTAGGCCTGAGCCCAAGAGCTGTATCAACGTCCTTTGGCTGCCGCGTGAATATCGCTATTTGCCTTCAAGGCGCATCTAGTCCAGAACCGTCTACCGTATACGTAGATTTGCGAGCTCTTCGTAACGATCGCGTCTCCTTAGTAGAGCGCGGTAGTCCCCATTCCCTTTGCTTGATGGAATCCGGAAAACTATTGCCGGGTGTTAAAGTGATAACTGCAAATCCAGAAACAAAAGGCCAATGCGGTGATTCTCATTTGGGAGAGATTTGGGTGCAATCGCCTCATAACGCTAGTGGTTACTTCACTATATATGGTGATGAAAGCGATTACGCGGACCACTTCAGTGCTCAGTTGGTTACGGGCAATACAGGTGAGGTGTATGCTCGTACTGGTTACTTGGGTTTCTTGAGGCGAACAGAGATAAGTACAACTGGAACGAGTTGTGATGAGTCGCTGCTGTCAAGAGATAGTGATACGGAGTCCCTAGCGTCGGCGTGCGGCAGTGTTGGCATGGCATCAGACGTGCATGACACGCACGACGCAGTGTTTGTTGTCGGCGCTCTCGACGAGACCATAATGCTACGCGGTATGCGGTACCACCCCATAGACATCGAGAATTCCGTAATGAGGTGCCACAAGAAGATAGCCGAATGGTGCGTACGACGTACTTATACTATTTAACAATATTTTTTTCACTACAGAAATTCTAATTATATATAATGTGTAATTTCTCCATCTAGTGTGGTTTTAGTGTGGCATTATTATACTTATTATGATAATTATATCAGATAACCCGAAGAACCGACAACCGATGGGGTTCGGTTCTCAAGTGGCAGAGTCGTACTGGTAAATGGTATGTGTAGAACGATCTCCCACTAAATATCTGGTAAAAGATGCAGGAGGTCGATAAAGGCAAGTGGCTCAAGTACGTGTTTTCTGAATTACTTTGGGTTGGCTTGTGATGGTTACTAATGATGATAATTGACGATTAAGCCCAGATGTCCAAAGAAGAAAGAATTCCACTTTATATATTTTAAGCGTTTATTGTATACTGTTTGTACGACTAACCTAGATAGCAAACCTAGATGCTCGCAAAGTCAGTGTATTAGCGTGAAATTATCATTTTAGTAGTTATTAATAGATCACTTTTCATCTCCTGTTTTATTTGTTCTGTGTCGCGTCTTATACGGAGGTTACACGTTCAGTATTTAATCAGTTTAGTCCGTCAGTCTGGTACAACTTTGACTGACGCAAAAATGATAGTTGGTAGTTACACAATCAGTCTCACATCAGTATTTCATCATTCATAAAGGACTGACGAAAATTATCTGAAATATTTAATATTTATCAGTCCTGACCATCAATCTGTCAGTCCGTGCGTTAGACGATACTTGTTCGGTCATTCTGACCAGACAACTGATGAAATACTGAACGTGTAACCGCCGTATTACGACACCCACGACACGATATGAAGTGTAGATATTACACTATACACTGTATGGTTAACAGCGACATAGGAAAAATTAAACGCGTTGGTACAGCACCATCTTCCCGATAACAATTCAAAATTATAAAAAAAACTGCAGTTGCCAACCCGCCTGCCAAGCGTGGCAACTATGGCGAAATTCTCCTATGAGGCTATCTATGGGGAAGGCCTGTGTTCAGCAGTGGAATTTTATAAGCTGTAATGGATAGATGGATGAATAGAATAGCTGCAGTCGATTTTATTGATTTTAAAAATAATTTGTTTCTTTTTTGTTTCCGCAGTGCTGTTTTCACCTGGACAAACTTGCTAGTCGTGGTCGTGGAACTGGACGGCAACGATAGCGAAGCTTTGAATCTAGTCCCACTTGTTACTAATACTGTTTTGGAAGAGCACCACTTGATCGTCGGAGTTGTAGTCGTGGTTGACCCGGGAGTCGTGCCCATTAACTCGCGAGGGGAGAAACAACGCATGCATTTGCGTGATGGATTCCTATCCGATCAAATCGACGCCATATACATCGCGTATAACATGTAACCGCGAAAAAATGAACCTTATCTTCATATTTACAAGGCTGGATTTGGGTCATGCACTGGCGAGAGGCTTAAGAACAACGCTCCGTCTTCTGTACATGGTATCGTCCAAATACACCGCATACCTATATCAAATAATTTTCAAAATGAAAATATTTTAACCTGAATACTGTTTAAAAAACTATTTCATTAATAGATGACAGGAATAATCACTTTATATCTGATTGGATATAAATAAATGAATAAAATGTTAAACTGAATATTGAATGTGGCAAACTGAAGCGTTTGTCTTGATTGACTTGTACACTTTTAAGGACTGCCCAATATAATTAAACTGACGAAATGTCTATCTTGTCACGTTGGTGACACGTTGCCAGACATTGAAGAGGCCCAAACGATAGTTATGCAATCAAAACAATTTTGGAGCACCTTTTACCTTCGCAGGTTGATCTTACAACCTACTCTCAATTTCGACTTTAGATCATTTTACAACTTAACGGGAATTTTGATTTGAATGTATTTATATCTTTTAGATTTCAACTCCCTATCGCCAAAAGGCTAATATTATAAAATGTTTAACAAATATAATCATAAGGTTATAACTTTAAGATTATAAGGTATACTATATCTGGATTCTTTATTGCACGCGCCATGGCCATCTAAGCCAGCTCAAGTGATACAGGCATATAATTTTTATTACTGTAGTTCTACCTTTATGAAAATTTTGTTAAGTAATGAAACTATCCACTGGATTATAACAAATTGAATGTCTAAATAAAAGACAGTTTTTTCTATATAGTTATGTTCATGGGATGTTAGTACGACGAGGTTGAACAGAATCTGTTCCGAGTTCAATATTATCATTTTAGCTAAAAACTCAAAAAAATGTCTTGAAAAATTTATATTACCTATATCAAATTGTACAAAAAACGTATGAAATACCACATATGTAGTTGCGTCCACGCAAATTCGACTATATTATTGTATAATGAAAGAAAAACCGCCATGCGTGCGCATTAAATCATATTTTGATTGTTGAAATTTGTTTTGTTAGTACATTATTTAAGGCGTTGTAAGCGTAAATATTACATCAGAGTACTACTGTAACAGTCGATAAATTGACGCACCATTCTTATGATATCACAACTGTATTGTTGTGATTGTAACAAATCAAGTAATTTTAGTAATTATAAATCGCATGTAAATCTATTACAACTGATAATATTAAATCGTAGACTTAGTAATTTTTTTTATAAATTATGTACTGTACTGCATTTAATGTGTTATAATGTTAGTCGCCCATTTCTCTGTTTTATTAACATCCATTCCAAGTGTGGAGTTACTACACATATACAAACGCCTTGGCATCTAAAAAATACCTTAATGACTATGAGCATACATTGATATTTATAAAATATAAGATGCTTGTTCTATCTACGTTTTACATTCTAATATATAATGTTCTCGATCTAGCATTATCGACATTTTTATGAGTCTGCTGTCAATCTTTGTCAATATATTTTACTCCGAATATCATAAATATCAAAGTCATAAAAATGCGTTTTTGACTCCAGTCCCATTTTACCATCCACTTGTTTCCCAATTCGCTCATTTCTCTATCAAACGTTGATTATAAAACTTTTAGATTATATGATAAGATTAAATATATAAATTTAAATCGATTTTTCTCAACTTGGTAACAATGAAAACTGATTGCACATTTCAAAGCCCTGTATTCATCGACAAACTACATAAATAGATATCTCTATGTAGTGTATTATAAAGTTAAGAATTAAACTTTTGTTAGCGGCAACCCATTCCATTAATGTTCTGTACAACATCTTGACGTGGTTTAATATTCAATTGAATTTATCTTTATCTACATATTAGATTTTATTTTTACTAATATCATTTTTGTAATTATTTATTGCTAAATTGTACATACACTTTGTTATTTAATTTTACTTTAAAATGTCTGTTTAGTTTATATTATAATGTTATTTTGACAATGAGTCAGTGGTGTCAATTTAGGTCAAAGGTATATTATTGTATTATTGATTTATATACGAAATCAACAATTCCTTTAGTTTTTTTAATGTAAGAGTATAATTTCTATTAATATTTCAAATGTAGTGATCTTTACGAATAGTTAAAACTCAGTTTTATGAACAAAGGTTTTATTTGTAATCCTTCTTTATTGTAACTTGTATTGCATAATAAATTAGCACAAGGTCCTTCCTTTATGTGTATATAATACAAAAAAGCGACGTTATTACAATGCACGTATAACACTTTTCAAAAATCATCAATTTTTCAAACAAGTTGCACAGTAAATTTTGTTTCTATTGTATTCTGAATTTGTGTGATATATTGCTGATGTTTGTATTAATTTTCTGATTTTATAAAGCAACGCACAAAAATTAAAAAAAATTGGGCAGTAATTTTGACGAAAATAAGAATTTTAGAATGTTACTAAAACTGTGTATTTCGTCGCCACAGAGCTTGTCTAAGGGGACTTTGTAACTACTTTTACAATTGTGATTTTTTTCTGAATTACGAATAAACGTGCATTTTAGTTATTTTGTTTTTATTTTAAGAAAAACATAATACCATCCCAGTACTAAAATTACTATACGAGAAACGAACATTAATTTTCAAGCAGTGTGCATCGCAAGAAAAATAAAATATTCTAAAATTTAAGAAAACTTAGAAAACACGCGTTGATCATGAGCTGTGATGATTATAGAGAGAATTATCCTAGTGATCCTGATCGGGGTACTAGGATAAAGTTATTAAATTATTGTATTGTCATCGGTCCTTGATACGAGTGCAAAGTTTCAAGTCAGCGGGCCGTGCACAAGTTGGTGAAAATTACATTAAAAGATTCCGTTACAATAGATAGATTTTTCCTTTTATTTGAACATAAAAATACAGGTAATGTTATATATCCAATAGAGGCTATACTGGAGCTAACCCTTCTTCATCTACATATACAACAAGAAGCCACTTTAGCTGTCATTAGATCCTAAATCTTTTTAGTAATAGTAGAGTCCCTCACACAGGTATAAGTGATAGAATTTACTCAAAAATTCCTATCTTACAAGCCAACGATAAGATCCCAAAACAATTTGTATTCGATAAGATGTATAAGATACAATTAAAAGCAACTGATCAGTCGGAGGAATTAAACCCAAAAGAGCTTAGAGTCTTCACAGATGGTTCTAAAACAAATGAAGGTGTAGGATCTGGAACTTTCTCTGAAGACCTTAATATCCACATATGTACACCGCTATGAATGTATTGGTATAATCCAAGCGGCCATAGCAATAGATACTAGGAAGGTAAAAGACTTCTCCATCAGAATACTCACCGACAATATGGCGGTACTAAAAGCTCTGAGTAGTAATGTGGTGAACTCTGGACTAATATATAAATGCCATAAACGATTAACTGAGAGTATGTAAGCGCAACAATGTGACTCAGTAATGGATTAAGGGACAAAGTGGATCTAGAAACGACGCCGACGAACTGGCCAGAAGAGGATCGGCTCTGGCCACTATATGGCTGGAATAACCATATCCCCTTGGTAAGTTTGTTCACTGGTACATAGAAACTTCACTAGTATACACATTAAAAAAGTAAAAGCAAAGTTACAGCCTACATACGTCCCACTGCTGGGCACAGGCCTCCCCTCATTTCTGAGAGGGTTTTAGGGCAAGGAAGTGTCCGCCGCGCAGCCCCAATGCGTGTTGGCGAACTTCACATATCTTCGAAATAACTACACATTAAGCTTTGGACAAATCTAGTAGACTGTAGACAAGCTAGGGAGGCCCTGCCTGAAATAAACAGTCGTCTAACCAAGGTTCTAATGAGACTGAACAAGCCACAGATCAGGATAGTAACAAGTGCTATCACAGTACATGACTCCTTTAAAACATTTATTTACCATAGGTGTTACAGATACAAACTTTGTTAAACAAAGTCTCGGACTGGGGCCAGCTAAATCTAGTCCAGTTTAATCCCCAATAGACACAAGTTTGCGCGTTTACCGTTAAAAAAACCCCTTCGTCGATCTCTTCAGTTTCTAGGCACTCCCCTCGTTGCCTCAGCCAGTATAGGAATCCTCGGTGTCGACATATCGTGTGACGAGCAGTTTCGTGGTCACCTGGAAGAGAAGGCCAAATTGGCCTCTAGAAAGCTTGGCGTGCTCAGCAGAGCAGGACAGTGTTTCATGCCGGCTCACCGCCTGCAACTTTACAAGACGCAAGTTCGGCCGCACAAGGAATTTTGTTTTTCTTTATGGCAACTTGCTGTTTCCGTCTCTGGGCCGGGGCTCACCAGTGCCAGCTCCTTCCATTTGATCCCATCCAGCGCAGAGCTGTTCGAATCGTCGGCGACCGAGCTCTTTCCAATCGGCTTGACTCACTGGCACTGCGAAGAGATGTTGCATCTCTTTGCGTATCTTATCGTATCTACCACGGGGAGTGCTCTGAGGAATTGTTCGGACTAATTCCAGCCGCACAATTTCACCATCGCACATCGCGACAAAACTTGCGATACAATCCATACCATCTGGATGACTGGCTGTCCACTGTCCACCGTGCGATTTAAAAGAAGTTTTCTGCCTCACACAACTTCCTTGTGGAATCGACTACCACCAGAGATTTTTCCGGACCGATACGCCTTAGGAACCTTCAAGAAAAGAGTCTACTCCTTTTTTAAAAGGCCGAGGGTCGAATTGCTCATGGGCAGCGGTAATCATTCACCATCAGGTGAGCCGTAAGCTCGTTTGCCCCCTCTCCTATGAAAGAAAGATAGTCCCCTGTGCAGGGTATGTATGGGGGAGGAAGAAAAGGCGGCCCACGTGTTACTGATATGTACGGAGGTTGCTGCATACAGGGCTTAACATCTCGGCACGCCGAGATCGCTCCCTGAAGCTTGCAACTCAAAAAGGATTGTTGAACTTCTTCGGAGAGATTTCATAGCTCGAATAATCACATTATT